CATTTATGTATACATTTGTCTATATCTATCTCGATTCGTTTTGGCTGTTACAAACAACCGTTATGTGAACAAAATTAATATACCCTTGTGCACAAGTGCGCTCGGGTATAAAAATTATTTCTGCAAAGTGTAATTTATTGGGATTTTATCAACCCTTAATTTAAAGGTCGAAATATAGGGAAAGTTGCGAAAACACAGAAAATTCAAGAAATCGATATCTTTTCGCTTTTCTTTAGCCGAAAACGATTCCAATAACTAGTTCTTCATGTTCCTCAAATAACTACGTATGTGTATGGATTACTTCGACATTCATTTCTGCGATATCCTCCACTGCAGGATTTCCCAAAATGGGTGCCGCGAGCGTATGCCTGGGCGCCGCTAGTGGCTAGAGTATACTAGTGGTGCAGGCAAATAGTTTAAACTTCTCACACACAACGCAAACGCCCGGATAACACACAACTCTAAGTTAGGAGAACGACTGGTTTTATAAACGTTTTATAAGGCTCTTTTCATAGACTGTGCTCTTATAAGGGTTTATAAGGCTCTGAAAAAAGAGAATTTATTCAAAAAAGCATTTATAAGGCTCTGCATGCAGACATATTTTTATATGCCTATTTTTCTATAGTCTTTTCTCTTCAATTTCATGATTAGTAAAAATCCTCTACTACAAACTTTTAGATCTCTATAAACTGTCTTAATTCAGAGTGATTAATAATTTCTTTTTTTTTTGTTGAGTCAGCAAAAGTGGTTTAGTCAACAATAAGCATAATTATACACCTCTATAAATTTTCATATTTAGAGCAATTTCGCATTTTCTTTTTGAAGTACGATTTGTCTTCATAAAGATCGTCAACGCTCTTCAGTCATATTATTTCGGATTTCGCTAGATAAAAATATACTAAGGGTACTCATATATACGCGGAAGTTTCATAGTTGGGCAATTGGGAAACTTTGCGCCATGTGTTTCATGAGAACAATTTTATATTTTATGCAATTTATGACATTTAATTATTTGACTATACATAATTTATAAAGTTGAACAATTGAAACTCAAATTTGAGTAAATATTTAAGTCTTACCGCAGTTATTTCGAAAAAGCGTTGAGCACAAACCAAAATAAATGTAAACAAAATAGCTGATTGAGGGTTGCACAGCACACTGCGCAAAGTTGCGCTACAAAATTGCCGCGCAAAGTTTCCCTTTTTGTGCAAATGGCTTTCCATACAAATTTTGACATTTTATTTGCGAGGGTTTAAAATTCCACAGTTTGCCCAGTTTGCGAGAGTTTTGCGCTTTTAAATGACTACCCTTACTTTGTTTTTGAAGTTATAAACCTCTTTAAATTTTTCTGTGTTGATATTTACTTGCTGGCGTTTTATTCAATCGCATACAAAGATGGAGCCCTGAGAAAACTGTGTTGCAAATTGGTTAAAAACAGGAAAACGAAATTGTGTGAAAAATTAAATTCCACAGTGGTGATAATTTCTCTTTTGCACACTTTGAATTTCTCGAGGGGAATTCGGGTTTATTATTTTTGTTTTCAACTGAAAATATGTTTTTTATCTTACCGCTTTTCAACCAATATGTTATTCCATTTCTGGAACCATTGTTTTTGGGAACTTCCCAATCTTCTGGTAAAGCTTCAGTGCCAAGACGTCCATTTTTGCAAAATTGGCCGATTTTAAAAGATTTTCTTCGACTTATTTTTATAAAAATTTCAACAAGCGTTAACGATCGTTTGATTAAAATGCAGAAAAGGATCTCAAAACGAGCAAAAAGTCTTCACTCCCAAGGAAATGTCATTTTGTAGATTAAAATTTTGCACTAACAGGTCTATTCTGCACGTTACCAAAAATTTTGTAACCGGAAATGTTACCAGTTCTTGTCACCGCGATTCTAATTACGTTGGTAATGCAGTTAAAATATTCAGCAATTCAGCTATGAAGAATTGTGGAGATTCTGGCATTGCATATTTCACGGGGCAATACTTTGTTACCAGCTTATGAGATGGTAACAAAATTTACCGCTTACAAGAGTACACAGAATTTGAAAAGGGTTTAAAATTTGACAGGAACTTAATTTACCGGTTACAAAACTTTTATTACCAGCGCAGAATAGACCTGTAAGAGAAACGTAGAGAGAAACAAAAAGGAAATACTATATTCAATGCTCTTCACGTAAACTTTTTTAAGACTTGAATATTTACGTTTTGAGAGTTTTGTATGACTTTTCTATATTCTCAGAGAAAATGCTCGATTCATGGCCCTTCACGTGGACACTTTTGAATTTAGAAATTTAGGATTTGGGTGTTTTGTATACATTTGATCAATTCATAAAGGAATTAGTATGTTCAGGCGCTCCGAGTAAACTATTTTGGATTTTAATAGACAAATTGACTTTATAAGTGTCTTTGAATAGACATCTTGCTGTAGCGCCATATTTTTTGTTTATTTTTAGGTAATGAAAAAAAGTTTGAAAGGTGAAAAAACTAAAATTTTAATTTTCTTAACTCTTTCTGAATTTTTATGACAGAAAATGATTCATTGTTCTATTAATTATATTGAAAGCCACATTTTTAAGATTTGTTTTTGGATTTTTATTGTATAAATGAGTTTTTTTACAAATACGAGTTTCGAAATTGTTTAATAAAAATT